ATTAAATATACTAATCAGATTCTGAGCTTAAGGGACAGAAATAGAAAAAGAAGTGGAGCAAGAACAGCATTGTTCCCTCCTTTATCTTTAATTTTAGTATGGGTAATTTTATTGACTAAAACTTTTCAGACAAAGCTGAGAAATGTAAAGCCCTAATGAGCTCAGTTACTATTTGTTTTTATTTGCGTTAGTTGTTAAATGTTAAATAACCAGCAGTCCTTTTTTTGCCTCCGTGATCGGAAAAGTAGGTATATATAGCATATCATTGCCAACTAAGGTTGACAGTACAGAAGTGGATAAGTCCAAAGAAAAAAAGCATTGAACTTGTTATCCTATTAAGCCTTAGTAAGGCAACCCGCACATCCTTCATGAGCTTAGAAAAGCAAACTGTTCACAGAGAGTCCATATTAGCAAGCAAACATCTGAGGAAAATGAATCCTGGCTCATAGTGACAGTAAGTATAAATACCTTTTTTATTTTAAATAACACCCCTCTCAGATAGTGTTCTGTAGATTGTTATTTGCTGAAACTCATCATAAAATGTGAGATTTCTGAAATTGTTTTCACACAGTGGATGCAGTTTAAAGAATTTGTATTATACTAGAGCAGATAGTTTAGTTTTGTGAATAAATAAGAATGATAACTAATAAAAGGGTCATTTTAACATACAGTAGCTTAAAGTTCAGTAAAATATAATTTCAAAAACTGAAAGCCTACCTTCACTTTTTGTTCTGTGTGTGTGTGTGTGTGTGTCGTTTTGAGCAAGTAGTATTTCAGTTGTGGAGGGTGATGAATGCTACAGTAATACTAGGGGGATATTTATCAAGGAATGCTATATACCACTGAGTAGAAACACGAAGTCAGTTTGCAGTACTTAAGTATGATTTGGTAGCAGTTTTTTTCTACCGTTTCCTCATCCTGCATACTAAATTACCTTTGGTACTTTCTTCTACCTCGTTTACGGGAACCGTAGGAGGGAACAATAGAGTACTGACTCACAGTTTGGTGAAATATGTAGATATTTTCTCAAAAAACCTACAAAAATTAAAGCCCATGAAATATTAAACTTTCAGTGGGTTTTTTGGTTTTGTTTTGTTTGTTTGTTGCATTCTGCAGCTAAATTCCTCCTAATTATGCAATTTAAATTCATCTGGACAAGGTGACCTTGCAAACAGCATAGTCAGAAAATAGAGTATCTAAATTTTTTCTGTTGTAGACAATTCTGTTTGAATCCTAGAAGCCAGGATATATATATATTTTTCCCCTGAATGGATTTTACAATTAATTATTTTTCTCATATAATGATGAGCTGAATTTTTCTAATTGCAGTCTATCTAAAAACAAGGTAGTTGTGATAATGTATAACATATAACATGTCTTCATCTGGTGAGCTGAGTTTCAAGTGGAATTGAAGATTTTGAATTTCTGTATTGTGATGGATGAGCAATTCTCAATTTTGAAAAATATGATAATTTGGCAAAGGATTCTAGTACTTTGTTTATAATATTGTCTTTTACTATAGAAATTGTATTTCCTTGTAGTAGAAATGGCAGTGTCATAGTGAGATTTCTATGAATTTCATGACCATTTGCCACATCACATCTGAAAAGTATTTCACTTACCTCTCTGAGAAAGCATGAATTTTGTGCCAGAGCAAGAAAAAATCCAAAGTTGCCACATGCAAGGCAGCATATCAAACAAGGGTATAAGAGAGGCACTGACAGGAAAAGGGCTGATCCAGTTGGTGTTCAAACTGGCAGATTTTCCTTCGGACGCAGGACAGGATTAGCAAGAAGAACAGAAATGGAAAATTTTGGTATTTTAATATATTTTCAGAAATTTTGCTGAAGAATAAATAACTTCACCCATTATAATAGAGAAAAAGGAATATTATGCACTCAATGCATAACAAATATGTGAGCATCCATTGTACTAAACAGACAGTTACTGCTAGAAAACTTGATTAGTAAGCTGAAGCGTTCAAGGTTGCATACTTAAAGTCTCAGGTGAACTCTGCATGGACCATTTACAGTATAGAGGACACCTACTGGTCTTCTGTTTTACTGCAGTGGAAAACTAAGAATAGGTGCAAGCAATATTAATTGAGAAAAGGAACGCCTTCAAAAACATTAAATAAATGCCTATCCTTATGAATACATTATTCTTGTAATGGCAAATCAGGCAGGAAGCAAGATTAGTCAATTAAATAGAAGATTTTATTTAGCTTTATAAGAAAATGAATTTTACACATAGTTTTGCTGAATTTGGGAGTGGAAAACTGGACCTATGGAGGCAGAAACATCTGTGTGCATATAAGCTCATGAACGCTAAGTTATAAGTTCTGAATATGGATTCACTGGCTTTCATGAATCCATGTTGAATTGTGTTCTCAGTTGTATGTTAAAATAATCTTGAAAAGACTGACTGCTACTTTACCAGTCTTCTTGAAAACTAAGGTAAAGAGTTCCCTGCCCGCTGGGACATCACTTCCAACATAAAAGCCAGAATAGTATACTCACTATGCTTTTAAAAAAGGTGGTTAAAAAAAAAAACAACACTCTTGTGATGTCATTTATTGCTTATGTGAGTCCAAAATAATGCTAATTCTTCATTATATGATGTGAGTGCATAAGGGATGTTCTTACAAGTATACGTTTTGGTAGTAATTTTTCTTGAGAATCAGAACTACAATCATTATTGACTGATGTTTGCTATTTTTTGATTGTCTGAAAATGCAAGGTTTTGATTAGTTGTGCTTGTTAAAAGTCTCAGAGCACATTTCATGAAGAAAATGTTTTATTGGTAGGTCCTTGTCCCATAATAGTTGCAGAATAATTCTGATTACTCAGGCTTTTCTAAACATTTCATTTGAACGTACTAGTCTCATAGCTAATTGGATACTGTCAGATAACCACTGGGTTTTATTTGAATGGAAACTAATTCTTTGCAGCTATGGAATTCATTTGTTAAAAAATTAATTTTCTGAAATGCTTTAGGATCCTATTACAGCGCCATATATACAAACATTTCCTTTGCTCTAAACATTTTGCAAAGAGACTGTTAAAGACCAATCTGTTTTTGGAAAGTAAATACAGCAAATGATTAAGAAATGAAACTAAGATTCATAGCAGCTGAAAAAGAAGCAACACCAAGGTATTTCCTGTAATGTTTCTTATGCATATGTCTGGCATAAAATACATTGTTTGGCAAAAGTACTCCAGAAATGAATGTTGAGAAATCATTGAAATAATGCAATAATGGTAACTTGATAAAGGGATTCAGAACATCTTTATAGAGGTAAAGACGAGGTAAAGATTGAAAGTACTTGAATAAAAGGTACTTGAATTACGTAAATAAGTGGTAAATGGATGAGCACTTTTTGCCTTCTCTATGCCTATGGAACTATTAGGTATCACACAGAATTCATAATAGCATCGTCGTGAGGCATCTGTGCAAAAGATATCATGATAATATGCCATACAAACCACAGGCAGCTGGGAGAGTAAAAGGAAGAATTTACACACAGACACATGCACACACACACACACACAAAATAGCTTTGAGAACAATTTCATAGCACTGAAAGTCTAGGACAAATACACCTGCTAATACGACAGACAAGAAAAAGGAGAAGAATGAAAACAAAGATTAGTGTGGAGTAAAAGAATATTGAGAAATACAAGAAGTGAGAGACAAATGGAAGTAAGTACAAGATTCTGTATTAGGTAAGGATATCAAGGATAATGAAAATGAAAAAATGGAATTCTGTGGGAAGGGACAGGGAAGAGAGTAGTCAGAGTTTTAATGTGTTTGAAATACAGAATGAAAAGGCAGTGGAAGTTCTTGTTTCAGAAGTGCTTGTTTGAGTATTTTGTGGCATCATTCTTGTACGGTCTGCAAAAGGTGAAATATTTGAGGTATAGGGTTTATTCCGGAGATAATTCAGTGAGCTGCTGCTAAATACATTTATAATCACATCACCTACAACAAGAGACACTGAAATTACAGGACAAATATTTATCACCCCAAAAGGGCAATAAATACTGTCCTGGAAGTACACAAAACATTTTGCAATGTATTGTGTCACCACACCACTCTTATTCAACATAATTATTTCCTTCTTTTTTTTTCCTTTTTCAGTTTGTCTTGTCTGCAAGTGCATCACCTTTATCATAGAGGTTCACTGAATGTGATTCTTTAGAAAACTTAAGAAAACAGATGTTTTCACATAAAATCACCATAATAAAAATATAAAAAGAAAATAATCCTTATATTTTCCAATTTGAAGCAACATTCTAAAGATAGATTTTCCTACGTCGCATGATCTCACAGGGACGTTAAAAATATTTGGTTGCTTTTATTACCGCAGAACACGTAATCACTTTCATTATCCTGAAAAGAACTACAATTAATAACACTGTTCGTAGTGAAATTCTAGACAGGGTCTATCTGTTGTGATAGCAGCTAGTGATCTTTCATTCAACATTAAGTGCAGAGGTTTAACATTCTAATCTAACCCAAGCTGCATTGGTGTGTAGTAAGAATAACCTGTCGCGTAGAATGCTATGTCAGGGAACACTGGCTTCCATCCAGTGAACTTCTGAACACCTCTTATCATTTAGTCCCTTGTGCTCTGCGGTCGTGCTGAATTTAACTTATCCTTTCTCAGGTCAATGGGACTACTAGGATTGAGAGTGCTTTCCTAATTCTGTTAGCATATCTCAGCTGTAGAATGAAAGAAGCAAGAATAGACAAAGACAGTGCAATGGAAACATTGAGAAAAGACATGAGTGGGAAAGAATGCTGGTGTCTCACCCTTTTCTGAAGCAGTAGATCTTAACAAGAAGCCATACTTTTGGAGATGTGTTAGAGCCAATAATACTATTTGCATCTTAAAGGTTTTTTCCAATGTTTACTTGAAAAATGTATTAAGATGCTAACAATTCAACACATTGCACAAGCCATCTAGTGATATATAAATAAAGAAGTTAATACCCAAGAACATAATAGTTTTCATTATGAACAATGCCAAAAATAACCTTAAATTATAATTCTCACCTATTTAATATAAAGCACAAAAATAAAAATAAAAACACAGCATAGTCATCTTGTTTACCTTGATCTTATATCTTTGGCCTCTCAGTATAATCTGCTGTCCTGTCAGTAGGAGAAACCTTGGCCTGCAACTGACCATTTCTGATGCATGATTTCCCTGATGCATGGGCAGGTTGTTAAGTTTCAGAAGTTACCAAACAATTTCCCACAGTTCTGACATGCAGAGAACCAGCACTATCTATCTTGAAAACCTTCAAATTATTCCATGCCACTAAAAGCTTTTTGAAAAGTAACAGAACCAGTGACTATCTCAGATCAGGATATACTCTGCAAAGTTGTGTGATTTTCTGTCATTACAACAACATACAAAATATGCAATTGCAACTATGACAAGAAAGGCAGTTTCACTTGAAGTGGTCCACAACTCTGTATAACTTCTTGAAATTGCAGCATCTTTCAGGCAGTGTTTCCTCACTTCTTTTCAGTGTTATTCAGTGTTTTGGCTTCTCCATAAATCTTCAGGCATACTAATCTTATCCTCAAAGCCATTATAATTGAAATCTTCTCCCAGCTGGGTATTGTCATGCATTTTATTCTTCTCAAAAATAAATTCCTTCAATACTTGTAGGACATTAATACACATTACCCTGCCCTGTAAGATGCATTCAGCGTTTTTTAAATTCATATGTTCATTTTTTTTAAAGAAAAAGAATAGTAATCTATGTAGTGCATACAGCTGTACAACTAACTACTGTAGAAAAACACTAATGTAAGATAGGCAGCATTGCTCTTCATCTGAAAATAATTTTAAGCAGTATTTTAATTAAGGGATGTAGTGTCTTAGGTATCTTTTCATCAAAGATGCCTAACAGCCATTTTAAGATATTACTTAGAAATCTTTGAAAATTTGGTCCAAAGGAAGAGTAAAAAATAGCTGCATTAGTATCTGTTTTAGCATTTCTTTATTTTTTATGCAGGAGAAAAGCCAAGTCAGAGAGCCTGAAAGTTAGAGAGCAAAAATATTTTGGAGAAACTTTCTCACAGTACATCATTTTCCCTCCCACACAGAAGAGTGGAACCCAGATGCCCTCAGGTCTTAGGAATGAGTAGAAAAAGAAGAAAAAGCTACAAGGGCAGAAAGAGCTCTGATTCCAGAGAATGTAAGTTTACAGAAATGTTTGATTTGAAGTAAAAACTTCAGAATTGTGGGTGGTTATTCTCCAGCCAGAAGAAAGGCAGAAATCCAAGGATGCCCAAGGATGGTTCTCAGATTTGGAATACTTACATTCAAGCGTGGGTACATGTAGGTAATGTCTTGATGAGGCTACGTGCTTTATTTTGGTAGAACTGCAATCCTATGTATTTCTGATAGTCTTTCCAAAGACGCTGAAGTTAAAATGCCTAAAATTTTTATTATTGTTGCTGTACATTTCTCAGTGTGTTCAAGTTTAATTACTTGATTTAATCCCTCTCAAACAGATGTTACTATGAAGTATTATCCTCTAATACACATGATAATGAACATGACCTATTCTTTAAAAAAAAAAAAAAAAGAAAAAAGGCAGAATTTCATGTAATTGTATGAATGCTATGAAATCTTGCCTGGTACACCTCCTGCCGGGAAACAGTATTTTCTGCTTCAGACAGGGCTCTGTGGCTCAGACCTCCTGGGAGTGTACTACTAATGTGCTATGTGACTGTGACAGGATTCATTAATCCCTTTGTTTGCTCATCTGTAAAAGGATTATAAAAGTCAAGTTCCATGTAATTTACCCCAGACTGCAAGCATGCAATGGGATATTGATTGTCCCACCATGTCCGTGGAAATTAAGTAAATACTCAAAGGAATAAGGGATACAAAAGGGGTAGATTTTTCTAAATGCAAATAGAATGCCTGTATAATATAATACCGTGTGAAACTTTCTGAGAAAGATGAAAAAAAAGAGTATTCATACATTAATTTATTTAAATTAGAGTCAGATAAAATGGCCTATAATGTTTATTTTACTTCATATTAATGATCAGATAGCTAAGATAAAAGGAACAAATAGTGGATTTAAAAAATGCTGTTGAGGAAAATACACTACACTTTAAGAAGAAAGGAAGCATTTTCTATGAAAACTATCTCATACATTTGTAATACTGTTTATCGAATCATGGGAAAATGTTTTTTCTTATTTTCATCTTAAATTAGATGAACAGTTGTCAGTCACTTGTAAATGCCAACAAAATGTACAAAATCTTGAAAATAAAGCAGATGAGTCTTTGGCTTACTTTCCTGAGCCACTGGAAGTAAAGGGTTCTGAAGAAAATGGGAAAGATCATGAAATCAAGAATCGGAGTAGCCCAGATGCATCTGAAGACAGAGAACTTGACAACGCCTCAGATACCAAAAAAGAAGGAAAGAAGGAAAAGAACTGCACTCCTCAAGTGTTCTCTCCTCAGCAAAATGAAATCGTAGCTACAGTAACTTTTGGCGAATCAGAGGATTCATCCATGGGAAAAATTACAGTGTGGGGCAAACCAGACTCTGCAGAGTCTGCTAGAGTGGTTACTGGAAGAATTAATGCAGAAGTAAGTTATGGCTCCTTTAAGGTGAAAGTCGAAATTAAGAATATTTCTTTGTTTGATTCTGGAACAAACCTTGTGACTGAGAAAAAGAAATGTTCGAAGAACAGTAAACATTGTCATGAAAGACAATACCAGAAAAGCCAGTGTTCAAGTTGTCCAAAGTACCAGAGTCCACCAGCTGACCACCTAGTAGTAGACATTGGGGAATATAAGGAATCCTTTGCACACAAAATTCAAACTACTGTCAACAAAAATTCCTTCCTGAAAATGGACATTGAAGGAAAGAATATTAAAATGGAGTATACTAACAGAAAGAAAAATCTAAAAGTTAACATCAAACCTGGAGAACAGGTGCAAAGGAAAACTTGCAACAGAGAACATGAAGATACATACTGTAGTGAAACAGATTATTCTGTGAAAAAGGCACCTCTTAATACAGATTGTGAGACATGTTTTTGCTTTCATGAAAAAGAAGACACTGCATTCCAGGATGGATACATACTTCTCCCTCCACCTAAAGAATTTGCTGACTGTGACAAAATGCATCTAGATACTGTCACAGAGGGTGTCTCTTCATACCCTGTTAATGACAGAAAGGAATCTGACAGCTTCTCCACAGCCTTGAGAATTTGGGAGGGAGAAAATTATTTCAGTAAACATAACAAAAACAAATATGAAGGCCACAACAATGAAAAGGAAGATTTCTCAAAGGATAAAATACTTTTCTCAAAAATGAATAATGCAAACTGTCTTGTAGCTAGCAATACCTTGAATAATTCAAATGTTGGGAAGGAATACACCAACAGGAATAGTGCAGCAGGTCAAGAAAGAAATAACATTAACAAGCGCAATGACACAGGTCAAAAACCAGCAAGAAGAAAGTCTTTCCCAGATACTACCCTTGATGTGACATCACCAGTTCATCCTAGGAGGGATTCTGGCTTTTATTCATTGCCATCCTTATCCTTAAAAGTACTGCCTAAGGAGACAAAAGCAGATATCTGTTTCAAGAACTCACTTGTTCATACCAGCTGTACAGAACTTTCTAAATGCCCTGACTTGACCTCATCACTAAAAAGTTTGAATGCTCTTAAGTCTTCATATCAGTATGCTTTCACTTCATTTGATCATAATGTTACCATTTATCCATCTGAACCTGATGAAAGTCTAGATGACACTTGTTTACTGAATCACTATGCAGACTATGTGGAGCAAGGTGAGGAAATAGAAGAAACAGTAATGGAGAGTCTTCACTCCCTTGAAACCATTAGCGAGAAGAAAGAAACTGAATATGCCGAGCCTCTGAAAAATCTAGCCATATGGGAGGAAGATAGTGAGTCTACTGAAGATGCTTTAGATGAAGAAACACCGGAGCACCATCCAGAAAAGAATCTAGATTTGCAGAATAAAGCTCAGCTCATACAGGTCTTTCCACCTTCCAGAACTCCTTCAGGAGAATTTTTTATTGACAAGGAAAGGTCTGATTATGCTTCTACAGAGTGCATTCCAAACCAACTTTCAGCCATACAGCAGAATGTTCAGCCACTCCCTGCAGAGATTGAAGGGATAAGGAAAAGAAGAGGATCAGTAATGACTGTAATAACTGGAGAACTAGAACGACGAATCATTGTCCAAGGTGATAATAAATTGGTACCTGATCACTTTGGCTCTGTGGTAAGAAAAGAGCCTAATCTTTCCTGTAGTGTGCAAGAAAAATCTATGCTTTCACACTTGATATTGGATCTCAAGGAGCACAACATAGATAACGAATTAGAAAGCTTTTCTGAAATACAAGACATATCTGGGGATACCCCTGTTGAAGCCAGTTGCCATAATGATTCAGCCCAGACTGCCATGTTATCTACCTCTTCAGCATATTCAGAAAATAAAGAAAATTTCACAGAACACTCATACATCAAGGAAAGAACAGAGGATGTTTGCAGCAAACAGTCAACTGATGATAGCATAAAAACAGACACTGAAGCGCATCATCTACCTCAGTTAGTCAAATCCAGCTCTGATGAAGTTGAGAAAAAGATTGAAATGAAAGAAGATTCTCCCCCATCATCAGTAAAACAGATTAGTCAGAAAGGTAGGTGCTTTAAGACTTTTATAGCTAATGTCCTTTACATACCTTCTGTGTAGTTATCTTAGTGCTTTGCTGATGTCCGTTTTGGGAAAATGAAAGTATATTATTACTTTACAAAAAAGATAATACTGGTATTCCCATTTGGTTATACTACGTAGTTATCACACTGAAGCAAATATTGAATTTTAAGTAGATCTTGGTCCTAATTCTGACTGAGCCTTTTTGTGACATAGAAAAACTATAGTAGGTCATTTCATCTTCCTTTCTATCTTTATACAGCAAGGAAAATTGCATATAAAATAAGATTTTTTTCAAAAATATTAAACTTTTACAAAATTACTCATCTTTCCTTCTGTAATCCACCCATCTATATCTATAACTGGTCATTTAGAAGGAATGTTATGAATAATAAAAATATAAAGCTATATAGGTACTCTGCACACTACATTAAGTCCTTGAATATATATACACGCAGTTTTGCCTGTGTGTGTTTGAACTATCATTTTAACCCATTAATCTTTCTTTCTCTTTTTAATTTGAATCAAGTTATATGCAAATACAGTGTGCATAATCCTCTATAGAAGGGATTGTTTCCATCAGATTAGGAGTTTTTAACTGTACTTCCTTATCACTGGAAAAATCTTGTTTCAAGAGTTTTTAAAAAAAAAAAAAGGAAAAAAGTAAAATAAATAGAATTTAGTAAAAGGAAATATCTTTAATACAAGGTATAGAAAGATGCTGAAAAAGCTTGCATCCTCAAAAGACCTCAGTGGTAAAACATTTTGCCTCAAGGTGTAGTTATTTGCTGCATTTTTATTTTCTTCTTGCCTCTTTTCTTTTGCCCCTTGCTAAGAGCTATCTAAGTGTTTCCTCTCTGTAAGCTATCACCTTATCTGTTTTGTGCCACCTAGAACCTGTAATTTCATCCCCTTTTTAGTCTGGTCAATTTTTGACTTTCCGTGAATGTTATTCTTAGCATTGATGTGGAATTGCTAACTTAAGAGAATAAATATATTTTAGAATCATAGAATCATAGTCACAAGATTGGAAAGGACCTAGAAGATCATCTAGTCTAGCTGTCCACCCACTACCATTGCTACTACAAGCTACTAAACCATATCTTGTATCTCCTCATCCAGACACCTCTTGAACACTGCCAGGGACGGCGACTCCATCACCTCCCTGGGCAGCCATTCCAGTGCCTGACCACCTTCCGAGAGAAAACGTTTTTCCTTATGTCTAATATAAACCTCTTCTGGTACAACTTGTGGCCATTTCCTTGAGTTCTCTTTGTTGTCTGGGAGAAGAGGCCAAACCCCTCTTTGTCACAACCTCCCTTCAGGAAGATGTAGAGTGCAGTGAGGTCTCCCCTGAGCCTCCTCTTTTCCAGACTGAACAATCCCAGCTCCCTCAGCCATTCCTCACAGGACCTGTGCTCCAGATCCCTCCAGTTTTGATACCCTTCTCTGAACACTTTCCAGAGCCTCAACGTCTTTCTTGTAGTCAGGGGCCCAATAGTGAACACAGTAAATATATATCCAGCAAGAAGTATAATCCTGTAAAGTTTTAAAACTGATTAATGTGAATCAGAGGCCACTTGTAATTCAGGAATACAAATCTGCTCAGCCAAGACACTGGGTACACAGGGCAGTGTGGGACTTCCTATGACAAGTAATTCAGTGACACTGGAAAGGAAATGCAGATTTCATGTGTGACATTTAGAATAGAGATATGAAACAGATGGAAATGTTGTTAACCATATGGAAGAGTGGAGTTCAGCAATCTAGATCTGTGGTGGTGTTGTAGGAACTTAATATCAAAGGAACAAAGATTCATTCTAAGTGCATTACAAGAAATCTGTTTCCTGACTGTCACCAATGGTCAACTGTCTAGGAAAAGCAGATCTGTGATGGATCTTACTGTGGCCAAAGAGAGACGAAAAAGACAAGAATAATGCAAAGCCAAGGGGAGAACTCACAAATTCATTTCCAAGGAAGCCTTTTTAAGCGTAATAGCTAATTTCCTCTTTTTCCAGTGCAACCCTATCTACCTTTATCAGTGGACACAAGCGCATTTTCAGAAGGAAATCCCATACAAAGATGCTTTTCAATTGTTATTTTAGTTGAAATAATAATTTTAGTTCAAATAATAGTTATTATTATAGTTGAAATAATAATAGGGTAAGACTTTAGTGTCCTACTTAGAAAGATACCTGAAATAAAAATACAAGTTCTCCTTTAATATGCATTTGTCTTGCAAGTACCTTCAAAGATATCATGAACCTGTAATTAAAATCCATGAACAATTGACCTGCTTTTCCATAAAAATGCCACACAAGTTGTGCAGGCACTTAACTGCAAGTACAATGACCATCTGGTAATCACATGCACTTTTTCTGTGCATGGATACCTCAGTAAGTTTGAAAAAAACAGTTTAGTAGTATTTTGAGCATTATTTGTTATTTTAATTCCTGTGTTAGCAAAGAAGTTATTCTTATATCTATAATACAAAAATTTACAATATAGTTGCTTAAGTATATTCTGAAAGTTGTCAAATACATTCCAAATGAACAATGTCTGCTTATAATTCAGATTTGAAATCAGAAATGAATAAAAACAGAAAGCTACCTGTGCTGAAAGACACCAGAGCTAGCGATAGCTCCCAGGAAGAAGCAATAGATCAGTGGGCCAGGAGACGGAAACAGTTCAAAGACAGCAAAAAATGCAGTTCAACTGGAGGAAGCTCCATAAACAGCACTATCACTGAAGGATCAAGTAAGTATTTTAGTCTTACAGTTGTATTCCTCTTCCTTCATGTGATTGATGCTGTGTCAGGGCTTTCAGCCAAGGAAATCTATCTTCCACTCATTCACCTTGAGTTTCTATCTTAGTTATTTTCATAAGCAAGTATGTTTTACCCAGCTGAAGTTTTGTCATCATGGGAGTTAGTACCTTCCTTTTCATTTCATGGGCAACCTGGCTGGGGGCGGAGAGGGGAAAAAAAAAAAAAAAAAGTAGATCCCTTGTCCATATGCAAAAACCACTGGATGAGCTCTAAACTTGAAAAAGTAATTGCTTATGGAATGCAACTAAAGTCACAGAATCACAGAATCACCCGGGTTGGAAGGGACCTCAAGGATCATGTAGTTCCAACCCCCCTGCCTAGCAGGGCCACCAAACATCCACATTCAGATCAGGTTGCCCAGGACCCCGTCCAACCTGGCCTTGAACACGTCCAAGGATGGAGCATCCACAACCTCCCTGGGCAGCCCGTTCCAGGGCCTAACCACTCTCCTTGTAAAGAACTTCCCCCTAACATCCAACCTAAATCTTCCCCCCTTCAACTTGGATCCATTTCCCCTAGTCCTGCTGTTGTCAGCCCTTTTGAAGAGTTTACTCCCCTCCTGGGTGTAGGTTCCCTTCAGGTATTGATAGGCTGCAATGAGGTCACCCCGCAGCCTTCTCTTCTCCAGGCTGAACAAGCCCAACTCCCTCAGCCTGTCCTCATAGGGGAGGTGCTCCAGCCCCCTGATCATCTCAGTCGCCCTCCTCTGGACCCTTTCCAAGATCTCTATGTCTTTCTTGTACAGAGGGCTCCACACCTGGACACAGTACTCCAGATGGGGCCTCACAAGAGCCGAGTAGAGAGGGACAATCACCTCCCTCTCCCTGCTGACCACCCCTCTCCTGATGGAGCCCAGGATCCCATTTGCCTTTCGAGCTGCCAGAGCGCACTGCTGGCTCATGTTCAGTCTCTCGTCCATCAGGACCCCCAGGTCCTTCTCTGCCGAGCTGCTCTCAAGGACCACTCCTCCCAGCCTGTACGGGTGCCTGGGATTCTTCCGGCCCAAATGCAAAACCTTGCACTTTGCCATGTTGAACCTCATTAGGTTCACCCGAGCCCAGCCCTCCAGCCTGTTGAGGTCCCTCTGAATGGCATCCCTTCCTTCCACCATATCAACCGCACCACTCAGCTTGGTGTTGTCAGCAAACTTGCTGAGGGTGCACTCAAGTCAAAATCCTGTTGCCTAATTTGCATGTGTTAAAGCCATGGTGAGCTGGGAGACCTTCTTCCTATGATACCCACGCACTCCATCTTTTATCTACAAATTTGCTTCCTAGATTGTCCCTTTACATCCAACCTGGGTACTAACAGTACTAACCAACTGGGACACTAACAGTCCCACAACTGTTTCACTAAGAAAAATCTCAATACACTTTATGCTTGAACTTATACCAAATTCAGCATTTTAAATGATGTGGTAAGGAATTTTGAAGATAAACTGCTTAATTTATTTGCATGTGGAAAGAGTCCCCAAGAAAGCATTGCACATTCTAAGAAAACTTATTCTGATTCATAACATTGTGTTTGCCTCCTTTTTTTCTTTTTTAGCTAATTGAAGAAGTGCTTTTTGCAGATGGAAAAAAATACACTTTCCACTAGAAATTCTTAATGATAGAAAGTTTACTTTTAATAAGGAAATCACAGAACAATTGAGGTTGGCAGGGACTCCTGGAGACATTTGGTCAAGATCCCCATTCAAACAGGTTCACCAAGAGCAGGTTGTCCAGGATCAGGTCCTCATAGGTTTTGAAGATCTCCAGAGATGAAACTCCACACCCTCTATGGGCAACTCATGACAGTGCTGTTCCTGTCACATTAAAAAAGTGTTTCCTAATGTTGAGAGGGAACTTTCTGTGGTTCAGTTTGTGCCTATTGCTTTTTTTCCTGCCAGTGGGTACCACTGAAGAAAGCCTCACTCAGTTCCTCACTCAGTTCAGCAAGTAAAACACTGTAACTTCTCTTCAGATATTCATAGACATTGACGAGATCCCCCTAAGTCTTCACTTCACTATGCTAAAGCAGTTCTGGTTGTCTCGGCCTCCCTACACAAAAGAGATGCTCCAATCCCTTAACCACTTTCGTGGTCCTTTTCTGGACTTACTACAATATGTGTAGGTCTCTATTGTTCTGAAGAGTCCAGAACTAGACACAGTACTCCAAATGTGATCTCATGTACTGAACAGAGAGGACTGACCTGCAGACAAGACTTGGCCCATGGCAGGCCAGGATAACAACAGCTTTCTTTGCTGCAAAAGCTTCTTTGAAATTCTTCTTGTGGAACTTCATTGAATTCCTATCAGCCCATTTCTCTAGACTGTCCAAGCCCCTCTGAATGGCATCATGAGTCTCTGATGTATCAGCAGCTTCTCCCAGTTTAGTGTCATCTGATCAAACATCCAGAGCATTTAGTGAAGATGTTGAACAGGAGAGGACCCAATATTGGCCCCTAAGGCCCACTACTAGTTACCTTCAACTAGTCAGTGCTCTACTGATCACTAACCACTGAATATAGCCATTCAGACAGTTTTCACAGGACACTACTATGAAGAAATCTCCCAAAGTTTGTCTGGGAATTCAGTTTGCTGAAGTGCCTCTCCTAAATGCCTGTACACTTATGTATAATAAGATGAGATAGGACCTGTATGCATCTGTAAGACCGTGATATTTTGAGGGTCATAGAAATGCAGTGTGTTGGCTCCCATGAGTGAAGTGCTGCAATGGAATGATTCAGGCTTTTTAAGGACAACATGCTCAGAAGATGAGGGTGATAAGTTGTCATTTGTTTAAGACAGCAGCTAGTGTGCATGGAGCCATGCCCTGAGACTGATGAGGATCAAGCTGAGCATTTGAGGTTTAGGATTAAAGAGGTTGCAAGTAAAGCTGGCAAAATGCTGGGTGTCTGCTACAAGCTACATCAACAGGTAGAACAAGTGAATGAGGCCCTTGATGGACAGATAGAAGCAATCCAACATTTGCAGACCCTGGTTCTCATGGGGAACTTCAACCATTCCAATATCTGTTGGAGGAGCAATACAGCAGGACAAAAGCAATCCAGGAGGTTCTTGGAGTGCAGATATCTTACTCCTCAAAGTGATAGAAAAGACAATGAGAAGAGGTGCTCTGCTGAACCTCATACTCCCACACAATGAAGGGATTGCTGGGAATGTGAAGGTCAAAGGGAGCCTTCTTTGCAGTGACATTGAGGTTGGTGGTGGTTCAGGATCCTGAGGGCAGGAAGTAGGTTGAAAAGATCACAACCCTGGACTTCAGGAGAGCAGACTTTGGCTTCAGAGAACTTCTTGGAAGAATTCTCAGGGATAAATTCCCAGGGGCAAAAAGGAGCCCAACAAAACTTTTTTGGTTTTCAAGAACAACCTCCACGCTCAGGAAATAAGCATTGCAATGGAAGTCAGACAAAATTGGCAGGAATCCTGCGTGGATGAACAAGGATCTTCTCTGCCAAACTCAAACACAAAATCATACAGAGGATGCAAGTAACAACAAATGACCTGAGATGAATACCGAGCATCCAGGGATGAAGTTAGGAAAGTGAAAGCCCAAAAAGAATTTACGATGGCCAGAGACACTAAAGACAACAAGAAGGGCTTCAATAACTACATAGGTGACATACAAAGACCAGGGAAAAATAAGGGTCCACTGCTGAAGAAAAATGAGTGACAAGGTTACATGGAACATGGAAAATGCTGAGGTGGGGGCTGACTCAGTATTTACTAGCAAGACTGGCCTTCAAAATCTGCAGATCCCAGTGGCCAGGGAAAAGGTTGGAGCAATGAAGATGCAACTTTGGTGGAAGAGGATCATGTCAAAGAACATTAGAGCAAACTGGACACACATAAGTTATTCATAGAATCTTAAAGTTATAGAATATCTTGGTTTGGAAGGTACCTTAAAGATCATAATACAACTCCCTAAAGCCTAGCCATCTACTAGATTAGGTTGCCCAAAGCAACATCAAGCCTGGCCACGAAGATCTCATGGGGTGGGGAATCCACAGCTTCTCTGTTCCCATGCCTTACCACCCTCTGAGTAAAGAATTTCTTCCTAAAATCTAATCTAAATTTCCCCTTTTAGTTTAAAACCATTCCCCCTTGTCCTCTCACTTAATTGTCATATAAAATACAGAATAAACAAAACCAACAGAGACCACATTTAAATCTAGATGCATTATACCAGGTATTTGTACTGAAAGGACTGACTGGTTTTGGTCTTCCAGTTCAAATTCCCAGGTTGCTTGGGAAGTCCTTATATCAATGTGCAGTCCTTTTCTCCAAATTATTAAACTGAAAATACTCATGACAGTGTGCATAACTTCAGATAAATGTTTAACAGCCTAGGACTAGACAGAAGATTGATGTTCAAAAAAAGACTCATCTTTCCCCACCTCCTTTTTAATAAAGCTAAATACATCTGGAAGAGTTAAGGTTAAGAAAACAACAAATGAAGTAATTCTTACCCAAATCAACTACTTTTCAGCTTCTTGTCTTCCCATGTGCACTGAACTTACATTAAATTCCAGAAAAAAAATCTTGTTTAGTTTCACAATCAAATGGAACAAATAAGAAAGCCTAGGAAGTGGGCTAAATGCAGCTGCAGCTCCTGTTTATTATCATTTGCCCTTGGTAATCAAGTTCAATATACAATAATATCCAATACTTTTATATTCTAATACCTTTGCTTGCTGCTCCTTTAACAGCAGAGAAATTGTATAACTAACCAAAGACATTAGAAATACAGAATCCCACCATATTTCTTGATTGCTTTTTGACTGAAATATTTTATTCTTTATGCATTTTGACTACTAACATTACTTCTATTTGTTTTATACTCGTGACAGTAAATTCAGAGGATGCTCGGTCAGTAGATCTGGGACTACATTCTGAAAATGATGACAGCGGTTTCTATACAGAAAACTTTCATTCTGCTGCATGGGTTTTCAGAGGAGATGATGTGTCTCCAGATAATAGCCCTAGATGTCTCAGCAAAAGACCTAGACCAGTGGCAAGTAAGTTGTCTAAAGCAACAGGCAATAAATGTAAAAATTTATGTGATTTGTGCACTCTGAGGTTAATGTAAGGATAACAGCTGGATGCTTATAAGGAAGATGGAAACTAGAGGAACACAAGAAGCTAGAAGGGGACACAAAACTAAATAACAGCTCTTATTTAGATACTGTCTTGCAACATTTCAGGATTACTTGACAAAATTGATACTGGTAGTAAGCAAAACTAAACATCATCTCTTGCTACAAGGTAAGTATAAAAGTATGTAATGGTCATAAAATCTGTTTGTCGTTAAATTTTCTAACAGCCTAGAAAGAAATGTATTGAGTTTTTTACAGATGTGAAGGACCATACTTGTTCTATTTGCAATTTAAACCCAGTCATGCAAATAGATATTGTGAATAATTCTGTGGGGCATTAGGGCATTTTCCTTCACTTTTCAAATATTGAACTACTGAAAGGTAGTGTAATCCAGAGATCAACACTCGTCTTTTCATGAGATAATCCTTTGTTGGAAATAATAAATCATCCTCAACATGAGAGAAAACAAATGCCTTCTATAAATCTCCAGATATGAAAAAAATTTCCATAGATTGTTTAGGAATATACTGGAGAATATTTTGATTGCCTTTAGTCCCAATGGAGAGCCCAGAAGTTCAAAACAATACTTAAAGTATATGTTGAAGTATCTGTGTTCTATCAGATACATAAGATCAACTGGCCAGCTAGTAAATTAACCTTCAAAGTAGTTATATCTTACAAACATTACACAAGTTGAAGATGAAACAAACATCTGTCACAGAGTTAACTAGATCAATCTATGCCCATGACAGGGGGTAGTAGGCCCCTGGGCCCTCCCAGCCCCACAAAATGGGAAGGGAAAGGGGAAAGGGATAGGGAGATGGGAGCTGGGTTCAACAAAGGAAAAGAAACAGCTGCAACAATCTATGGAGGAAAATTTATTTTACTAACTATGATGTCGGAATGCAAGATAGAACAATATAATATAATATAATTGAAATTGAGACTAATAAATCAAATTAGATAGGAGAGAGAGTTCCTGAGACCAAGTCAAACCTGAAAAGCTTGGAACGGCTATGAAAGCACTCTCCAGCACCCACTGCAAGGCAGTAAGAGTCCGCCCCACCTGGAAGGGCCAGATCCCACGATTTCCATATTGTATAGGTACCTGGAATTGGAGCACTAACACTTTAACTCCCTGTGCACTACATGATGTTATAATGTGAAATTCTGAAAAAGACACAAAACAATGACAGCCATCAAAACCATCATAACTTATTATTAAATTCTCCTCCATTAAATAAACCCGCTAAAGCATTCAGATGATCAAAAGAGAATTGAAATTTATATAGAAGCGTTTATCACTATGACATTTACTAACAAGTCAAACAATTTAAGATGTACTACTAATAGTAGACAACAGGAAAAAGTTGAACCATTAAGCAGAAAATTAAACCCTGATCTCCCTTTTCATTGAAGATGATTCTGTCTTCGTTTTTGCTCATTTCATATGTGTACAGCCATTGATGGTAGAGTGAAAAAATTAAGATTAGTACTAAGGTGCAGTGAGAGTAGAGTACAAACGAAGAAGAGTAGGTGAAAGAAAAGTAAACAACTTATAACCAAAAGATACTGACCTTCTCAAATGGAAAAAGAGTGATCCTACAATAAATAGATTTGAAAATCTGTATTGTATTTTTTGTTTGCGGATTAGAAGTCTGACACATTCATTTAACAAAGAGCAAGAGTATTTTTCTCTCCCAAGTTGTGGTCAGTGGAGTGGAACATGTGACAGCTTCTCTTCATCTTAAGTACTAAGCCCAGCCACATGACTTCAACTTTCAGATGAAAGCAGATTTTATCTGTGTGTCTTTGCCTTAAGTTGTATTGTATTCTATTTGTCATGGTGTGAAGAAGTATAGACTGGCAGAGAAGCAGTACCAAACAGCTAGGAGTGATGCCAAGTCATCCAGGTCACCTGCAGAATCAGTATCTTTCAGTGCCCAAGGTTTTAAAATGGGCTGCTGGTATTTAAATTGAACTTGATTTGCAGAGAAAAAGGGATCTCTTTTTCCAATTTCTGCAGTTCGTGAAAGAACAGTGAAGATTGCTAAAGGAACTGGAAATTACCCTTGGGGATTCCGGATCCAGTTCTCAAAGCCTATTCTTGTGACTGAAGTTGACACAAGTAAGTTGTGCTTATACCAGTTAAATTCTGCTACAAAAATACATCTATATTTAAGGATATAATATTTATAGTATTACAGTATACATAAATGAAAGCATTTGTTGTATAACAGTGCATTGTACATATGTATGTAAATTATTTCCATAATAGGTGAATGTAAAGTGTTTAATACAACATACTCGAACAAGACATGACACACTATCTTAAGAGACTAAGTTTGTCTATAGGCAAATAGGGCTACACTATTTCTTGATATTCAGTGCCAGTTTATACCTCATACAAGTGTCTGCACCTAACCTCCCACAAGACCAATCTACAACATTTTGGGGCTCACATCTTTTAATGACAACTGACCCTTTAGAATAAATCACAGTAACCCTCCTAACACTTTCAAAAGTATTATTAGCTGGGGACAGTTATGCGTGGATGGATTTCTAATAAGTCATCTACAAACCTTGACAAGGTGGCATGTAAAGCTCTGTACTGTTGTCAGGTCATGGAAAGGAACTCCAGAAAGAGCTCAGAAAACTGTGAATGAACAAAAAAGTGGCAAATGAGTTTTAACAAAGATAAATATCCCTAGATAGGAATTATGCAGAACATAACATTGGCAGTTACACTCAAGATTGAGATCGTGGAAGTCAAATCTCTGAAATCTTCAGCTCTGTGTGTAAATGCAGTTCAGAAAGAAAACTGAATGTTGCTCCCATCTGTAACAGTGAGAATAAAAGACAAGGCCTCGTATCGCTGCTATACCCTTGATTCACTCTGGAGTACTGTTTGCTCTGCTGCTCTCTGCACCTCAAGATGGATAAAGTAGAGTTGAAGAAGGAGCAGAAAGCATAGGAGATTCTGAGAATTTCTACAACCAAAAATGCCCTCTAGCAAGTCAGATACCTACTAACAGCTCTGCTACTTTGCATGCTGTCCAGCTTCCTGGCCATGATGGAAGAACATCAGAGGCCTACGAATACACTAGCTTAACATGCAAAAACTTAATCCTGAGCTATTAAATTTCAGTAGAGAAAATCAGAGAAGTCAAAAGTCTAAGCAAGGGAACTACATGTAGAGAGAGAGAAAAAAAAAAAAACATTTGAAAAGGCCCCTATATTACTAACACTTAACAATTTTTAAGATATGTGTTAGAAACCTATGCACTCCCTTAAGATCTGAACATTTTTATATTTATACCCTAACCATGTATTGTGCAGGATATTCCTGCTCAGTTCTAAAAGTCATTCCAACTTTTTCACTGTTCCGCTTTTAAATACTAAAAATTCAGTCTTCAGTCCAGAGGAGAACTCATCAAGGACAAATCAATTAAAATTTAAAAGTAAAAAAAAAAGGAAAAGAAAAAGAAAAAGAAAAAGAAAAGAAAGAAAGAAAAAAGAAAAAGGAAATTCAGGAAGTGGTTCTCTTACTTTCTACATGGTTGTTTTTTGTATATGTCTATTTTTTGCATAGGAATCTCTTAATCTTTTACTGCAACCTACATGAAAATGAATAGGATTTTGCCAACATATCTTAGAGACCATTCTTTTTTTATTTGTATGAATGCAATCATTAGTTTCCATTACCAGTAAGTCCTGCAAAAAACATAAATCTGAAAAAAAAAATCTCTGCCTACAGAATGCTATGCAAAAGACATACTGAGATTAAATAGTGATTATGTTTCATCCTGAAACAAGTACTTAATTTTATTCCGGTATAATTTTTTGAATTATTTTAATTTATAGCTTTTAAAACTACATGATCTTGAAAAATGAAAGGTGATTAACCATGGAGTTGAAAAAGTAATTCTTCAGTTCTAATACCTACCAACTTAACCCTATAAACTACTAATTAAAATTAGACATAGCAAAACAGGTAATCATGTTTCGTATCATTCCTATTAAGTTTATTTTCATGTTTTGTCTTCACATGAGGTTGCATTTAAATAAAAACATTTTTACAGACAAATTTTAGTACATTTGTGTATTCTCAATATATTATACATTTCATTAAAACAGTCATAAAACTTTCATCTATATTCCTTTTTGTTTTTATATTGAAGTAAGAATATTTTTATAATATTTTAAAGATAATTCATGACCATAAAGTCTTGCATGTGATCCTCAAGGCCAGCAGAAACCAGAATGTCTGATCTGCAAATAATTTGTATCATATGAGAGTGAACCACAGCTTCTTTGTGCCTACTGTTCCTTATTGAGCTTTTGCTAGTTGTTCCCCACAACTTCTAAGCATCCTCAGAAAGACACTGAACAATCACATCTACTGCACAACAGGGTACATAAACTTTTTAAAAAAGTAATAATTAACTAACATAGATAAGCAATGTTTTCCAAAGAAGTTTTGCTTTTTTTTTTTTTTTTTTTTTTTTTTTTCTTCATAAAACATTAGGTATCTTTAGGAATCTTTAGGAATTTCAGCACAGAAAGAAATCTTGGGTTATTTCTTGGTCTTAAATCCAAAGCTGACTTGAATAAGGGATGTTTTTCCAATGATTTCACAGAGCAATGCTTTGTTTGCAGTTTAGAGCAAATCCTTCCGATATTAAAATGCCCTTTTGCCTCTAAAAGCATCTGTATCCTAATGGAATTTTTAAAGGAAATCTCTATCAGTCATTTTTTAGTTCTGAATTCATACCTAAATCCTGAAGTTTCATTTACAGACCACCAGCATGTTGCTCTGGAAAACGTACTTACCTCCAAATTGAATCACGAGGGCCACTAGGCATAATTCTTGACTGGTTTCACAGATACTGTTTTGCTATAAAAGACTGATTGCATGCTTCATATATTCAGTCTAAATAAAATACTTTTTTTGACTCCAGACAGTGCAGCTGAAGAAGCAGGGCTCCAAGTTGGGGATATTTTGATAGCAGTCAACGGAACCGATGTCACTAGCATGCCACATTCAGAAGCTGCCAATCTGGCAAGGAAAGGTGAGTTTGGGATCATTGTAAATAACATTATCTAAGACTCTTATTTATCTAGACCTTGCTAAGAATAAAACAGAAGATGGGCATACTGACAAAATATTCCCCAAAGAATGCATTTGGCAGTAACGTTTTCAGTTCTCCTGCCTAAGAGAAGGTGACTGAGAAAGTCCTGACTGCAGAGATACTGATACTCTATTTATGCCTTATGCTCCCTCAGGGAGAGAACTTACAGCTTGGTTCAGTGGTATTTCAGTAACTTACACCTGTAGACAATCAGGAGTTATTTAATTGAGGCATTTTTTTGTTTTGGAACATCAAAGAAACAAAGTTTCAGTGATATTGAACTTGTATATTCTTCTTCAAGCTCAGTTGACAAAGCCCAGAGATAGTCACATTTGAATGCTGAAAGTCAGTACACTGTACTTCTTTTACTTATCTCAGATATGGTGTTGACAAGGCTCTTGGGAAATTCAATACATTAAAATGCTTTTACAAGACAGGGACAAATTTATCTTGACACATACCAAATTCTTTAATTCTAGAAGTGCCATTCATGCTGTTAGATTTAAGAAGAACCTGTTAAGTCTTTCTATAGATAAATCTCTAATTACATGGCATTTTTAACTCCTTCAAGAGAAACCCCCTGGCCTGAATCTTGGCACACATGCAGCATTTCCTAAGTCAAATGTCCCCAAAAGATAAGTCCAGCAAATATTTGGCAAATGAAAATATGTCATAGTCACAGTTCTCAAAGTTTTTTAATACATTGCAGCATGCTGTAAAGTAGTATCTGATACAGTCAGAATTTCAGGCCTCTAGGGTAAAAGCTATAGCTGTGTTGATAGTATCAGCTAATATGATAAAATGGTACCACACTGCTGATAACAGTACCACATTTTCAGACAACTTTGTTGGACCTGTCATCTCTCTTGAGCACTTACCTTCTCCAGCTGATAAGTGGACAGATTAGCACAAGTTAATCTCCAACAGCTAGCCTCCTTACAGTGGTGCACAGATAGCAGAAATGGACTCTAGGGCAATGAAGAGTAAGAATACTCAAGAATTCTCAGATCATCAGTAATTTTTTAATAAACTTCAAATTATGCCCACACATTTGGGTAATGAAATCCAGCCAATCCTCTAAACTAATTAAATACGCAAGTGCCTAAACTGGACTTGTAAAAAATCATTTCTGGAAGTGTCTGTGAATAGCTGGTTCTGTTACTAGTCCTCTAGACAAAATGTGTTAAATTCCTGGATTTCTACAAAAGGAAAATGAAATGTTGGAATGATTTAATTTCCTTCATAGTTTGCTTTACTCTTTGCTTCTTCTAAAAGCTACACCAGGAGAAGAAGGGCAAGAGGTAGAATACTCCTTTCTGCTCTATATCCTATAGGGAAATTCAAACATACTGTTACCTTTGTTTTCACATTTTTCATGTAATATTTTAGGCCCTGATATCCTAACTATGGTGGTGGGATCAGATATCAGCCGTTACCCTAACACTCCCAGGCCTACCTGCCGAGGATATTTGCACAAAAGAACACAATCAGCAATATTGAAGGGATGGAGGAAGAGGTGGTTTGTGCTGAAGCATAATGGTTATCTCCACTATTACAAACACAAGAAGGTAAGGAGATGGGCTGGTGACAGAGGAAGCTGTGCTCTGAACTATAAAGCACATCAGCATTGTACTCAGATTTACAGCCAGTTATCTTGACTTGTAATATTTACCAATATTTAATATCAGCAGTTGCAATGTTTTTGTATATGGCTTAGAGAGCAGGTTGTTTGACTAGTTCTGTCTTCTCTTACCCTGCTTAGAGACATACACACAAACTCTTAGGATTTTGTGGATTCATATTTAGTCTCACAGCTGCGATTCTCAAAATCTACTATTGAGTTTTGGCATAATTTGCTATCTTCCAGATATACAGTGAGTCTTAATGCCCTAAATCACTTTCTCCTATTATGTCATCTACAAACACTTGAACATTCTACCTAGTTTTTCATCAGTGAGGGAAAAAGGAAAGGAGAAGGAAGGGGAGGGGCGAGGAGGGGAGGGGAGGAGAGAAAAACGAAATAATCAAAAGAACACAGAACAAAACAAAACAACAACAAAAAAGAAGCTGTTTCCCTTAGGAGTGTTTACCACTAGGGGCTTCGCCAGGCTTTCAAGCGGCGGCTGGACAGCTCCAGGGCTGCAGCTATCGCTTGCAGCCGGCGTCCAGCAGGTGGGGGGCTCGGATCGCACACAGGCGCTGCTCGGCAGTGCGTACTGCCGTTCGTGAGGGGCTTGGCAGGCCCACGTGTAGGTACAGTTCCAGTTCCTAATCCATTCCCTTGTGCTGCTTTGTGGTGAAGTTACTCATCGAGAAAGTTACATCGATACAACTAAATAAATTGGTTTCAAAGCCGGTGTTCTATTTAGGATTTCATGTGTAAGGCCCTTTAGAGCTTGTAAAAATGGTTCGAGATTATTATATTATTGGGAATTAATTCTAAATTAGTTTTGAGAAAATTTGGTGAAGCTGAGAAAATCTGCTCTAGTAAGGAATTTATTATCAGATGAAGCCCAAGTAACATCCAGAAAATCTCCTACTGAAATGGAAGGACATCTCCTGATTAGAAACTGCTAGAAACATAATTGTCTCCAACAATTTGAAAAGATCTGTAAAGCACACTGACAGAATCACAGAAACACAGAATCACACAATCACACAATCATAGGGGCTGGAAGGGTCCTCCAGAGATCATCGAGTCCAACCCCCCTGCCAAAGCAGGTTCCCTACAGCAGGTCGCACAGGTAGGCATCCAGGCAGGTCTTGAACATCTCCAGAGAAGGAGACTCCACCACCTCCCTGGGCAGCCTGTTCCAGTGCTCCGTCACCTCACCGTAAAGAAGTTCTTGCACACATTTGTGCAGAACTTCCTATGCTGCAGTTTCTGGCCGTTTCCCCTTGTCCTGTCGCCACACACTGCTGAAAAGCGTCTGGCCTCACCACCCTGCCCCCCACACCTTAGATGTTTATAGACCTGGATCAGGTCCCCTCTCAGTCTTCTTTTTTCAAGGCTGAACAGACCCAGATCACTCAGCCTTTCCTCATAGTAGAGATGCTCCAGGCCTTCACCATCTTTGTGGCCCTCCGCTGGACTCTTTCCAAGAGATCCCTGTCTTTTTTGTACTGGGAGCCCAGAACTGGACGCAGTACTCCAGATGAGGTCTTAGCAGGGCAGAATAGAGGGGGAAGATCACCTCCCTTGACCTGCTGGCCACGCTCTTTTTAATGCACCCCAGGATACCATTGGCCTTTTTGGCCACAAGGGCACACTGCTGGCTCATGGCCAAGCTGTCATCTACCAGGACACCCAGGTCCCTCTCTGCAGTGCTCCTCTCCAGCAGCTCATCCCCCAGCCTGTACTGGTGCATGCAATTATTCCTCCCCAGATGCAAGACTCTACACTTGCTTTTGTTAAACCTCATCTTCTTACTGCCCAGCTCTCCAGCCTGTCCAGGTCTTGCTGAATGGCAACACAGCCTTCAGGCATGTCAGCCAATCCTCCCAACTTCGTATCATCAGCAAACTTGCTGAGGGTGGCCACTATCCCCTCATCAAGGTCATTGATGAAGATGTTGAAAAAGACCGGACCCAGCACAGACCCCTGAGGAACACCGCTGCTTACAGGCCTCCAACCAGACTCTGCACCACCAACAACAACCCTCTGTGCTCTGCCAGTCAGCCAGTTCTCAACCCACCTCACTGTCCACTCATCTATCCCACACTTCCTCAGCTTTTTCATAAGGATGTTGTGGGAGATAGTATCAAATGCCTTGCTGACATCTGCACTGTGCTGAAATGTCCACTCTTAATCAAAAACCATATGAGAACCTTAGAAGGGCCCCAAGGTTCTTGCCTTGAAAATAGCTTGGAGCTCTTCCATGTGACCACAGAACCTCTTGGCCAATTAGAATGCATGAAGGACTTACACATACAGGTATACATGTGTAGAAATACCAATGAGAATTTACAATAAAAATGAATGTGTTCTAGACAGTAAGACAGTTTTGGGGTACTTCAACAAGTAGATAATAATGGGGAAGATAATACAACATGCTTCACTCCTGATCATAAATCTACCTTTACATTATTTTTTTTTTTCTCATATATCATCCTTCTCTAAGTCACCTGTGTATTTCATTTTGCTTATATATCTGTGTATATATGAGTCTTTTTAGTCCATTTTATATGCTTACCAGAGCCAATCCTATAAAATTCTAACTGGAAATATTTTCCCTCTTAGTAAAAACCTAGGCACAAAATTATTTTTTACCTGAAAGATGCTGATGCAACGCTTCCGAAGGCCTGTGCTTTGAAGACTTAATGAGAAAAATCCTTCTCTTATTCAGGATCTCTGCTCACCCCCTTCTTTCCCCTAATGAATTCTGGTCTCTTAGTGATTCTAAGCATAGATTTTCATGGGCAGTACCACTAAGATGAAGAAAAGGATTCACGTGACGCTGTGCAGCTTTAGAACCAAACTGAAATTATACAGGCTTTCAGACGTTTAAGCTTCTTGATCAAAACCAGTCGCTTCTGTGGATAAAAATCATTTTGTGAAAAGCAATTAAAAATTACAGAAAGAGATTTTTCTTCTGCTGTTCTTTATCCACTTGACATTTTCAGCACAGAGTCTGGTAGGGTGTTTGTTTTTTTTTTTCTTCATATGCCGTAATATGAGTAGTAGCTATCTAACCCAGGTTGTGCTGCAGAACCGCTCTATATTACAACATAGTCTGGCTTTCAGTCATTGTTACTTCAGCATTAACTATTCTGGTATTAAACAAACAAACAAACAAACAAAAAATTGTACACTGAAAAGGATACAAACATTTAGGAACACTTGTTTGAGGAAATTCCTGAGATGTAAAAAAGAATCTAGTTATGCCTTTTAAATAATCACCACTTCTCAATCAATTAATTACTTCCGAAGACAGTGAACATAATATAAATTGGATTAAGGATTATAAGGTACCTCATAATCTTATATTCATTTGTATTTAATTATATTTTCATTTTATTTCTTTCAACTAACACATTTCTTTCTAAGCCTACTTTTCTTTCTTTTTTTTTTTATAACCCAGCAATCCTTGTCTTGAACTTCGAAATAATAGCATTGAAAAATAGCTAGATAATCCCAATGTCATGTTTTGATAGTGGGCTTTTTAACATTGAAAGCACGCTAAAAAGCTTTTTGCTTAGAAAGGATAAATAAGTTTAAAGCACCAGATAAATATATCATCATAATTACCATGTATTTTCTTGCATTATGAAAGACTAGTGCCATTCAAACACCTTTTGAATTCTTTCATGCTATTGTTTTAGTCAGCTGCTCTCGCTCTCTCTTCAAATGCCACAGAATACACTGAAATAAGCTCCTGAAAGCATGAGGACTTTCTTTCCTCACAAAGGACTCCAAAAAGGCCTTTAGTAAGAGAGAAAGAAAGGTGCTTATGTATAAATGCATTTCTTCACTACTGAGAGATTCAATGCTCCATGAGTCAAGGAAGCTCAAATGGATTCTTTAGCATCTTTCCTTTCTTTTGGTGTGATTTCTGTCTGGATATAAGAAGAGCAACATGTGCAGATGCTGCTCATTCCATGGCTTTTCTAAGAAAATTACAAATAATGTTCTTGGTGTAACATATTTATGTAACATGTCAGCTATGCAATTATATTAGAAACAATGTGGTCTAGGCCTTACCTCAGGAGATCAAATGTTTCTACTTAGTGTTCTTTAAAATAGTGCAAACTGAGGGCAAGAATAACTCAGAGTGGCAATAGTAGTTCAGTATAATCTGATCAGTAGATCAGTATCAAGCAAGCTAACCAGTTTCCTCTGTTTTGAGGTATAACTAGGGCTTCATACTGATGACAAGAACAGCAGCTTACAGTGGTGTAATTCCAGGGATTCCAAGAAGATCACGCCTGATTTACATCTATGTAAGACCACAACCAGACTTTTTATTTATGCCTGAACTATCTATTTGTATATACTTCTACATTATTGAGAAGGCACAGGTTAGTCCATCTTCTGTTTTAGTTCATACCAGCAAACACAAAGAGATATGTTTCCTCATCATTGCTATTTACAGGTAGAAATTCTCCAGCCTGAACTTTCCTTTTCCCACATACATTTAAAAAAGTGACTGATGTTTCTGGAGCGCTTTACATATTGATTCACCTATGTAATTTTTGCTGTTTCAGCCTCATCTCTATTCAATCACACACTGGTGAAGTGATAGCTATTGCAATAGATTCAATCACTTTTCCTACAAGGTCATTTTGTTTTCCCTCAAGTGATGCTGTCACTGGCCTTGATTCTTGAAGTGCTTATTTAAACAAGTAAAACACAGCTATGTCACCACACTAGATGCAGCTTTGTTTAGCACCTTACAGCATGACCACATTAAGATTAGATACTTATTTTTCTAAATTACTGTGGTCAGTGAAGCTGTGACAATTTATAGCAGTTTTGCCTACACTGACCAGCAGTGGAGATCCACTATATACTTCATAGTGTATTTCTCCTCAAGCATGAAATTTCCCTCATTGTGCCAAAGTTTTCACC